TGGCCCCCCCCCCCCCCAGCCACAGGATAGGCAACAGAACCCGGCAATCCTGCTGTGCTGGCGGGAGCCACAACATGAGAGGGCGGGGCTGTGAGGGGCCGAGGCCTGTGGGCTGAAGGCTGTTGGAAGCGCCGCCCCCCACGTGAGTGGCATAATACTGCCCAGCAGCTCCTCAAGGCTTCCAGAAGGGAACGTCCCCTGGGTGCTTGAGCAAGGGATAACTGTGGGTACAGCACACAGAGTTGGGTGGACCGACTAATCCTGCCCACCACTCAGCCCTCCGTGCCAAGGCTTCCTCATTCCCAACGAGGGGACAAGCTACGCAGCAGAGCCCAAGGACCCCGACTGCAGGGCGACCAGGCGGGGCTGTATGTCACTGGGCATGCCCGCAGCCTCCCTGGGGCTCACATGCTCATCGGTGACAGGCACACACACTGCCCGCCGGCGAGGACTGTGACGGGTTATGATTGCCGCCTGGCCGGATATGGTTCCCTGGGTGGTGCCACGCGGAGAACACGGATCCGAACTTTATTTCTTAAATAGCCCCTCCCCGGCCTGCGTGTGCAGCCGCGGCGGCTGGGGGAGCAGGCAGGAGGTCGGGGCACACACACTGCCCGCCGGCGAGGACTGTGACGGGTTATGATTGCCGCCTGGCCGGATATGGTTCCCTGGGTGGTGCCACGCGGAGAACACGGATCCGAACTTTATTTCTTAAATAGCCCCTCCCCGGCCTGCGTGTGCAGCCGCGGCGGCTGGCTGAGCAGGCAGGAGCTGGGGGACAAGCACATCAGGCCGGTGGGCCTGCTCAGTCCCAGCCGAAGTCCTGGCCGGTCATCTGGTAGAACTTGCGGTTGAAGGGCCGGTAGAAGTCCTGCAGGCGCCGGACCACGGCCTCGGGCACGTGGGGGTGGGACCGGCCCTTGGACTTGCCCAGGCAGCGGGGACGGCTGCTGCCCTGGGCCTTCTTGAGGCAAGGGAAGCCCTTGGTGGCATTGAAGTAGAAGTGCTTGTCCGTGACGACCCGCTTGAGGCCCAGGAAGTCCTGCACGCGGCCGACCTCTCCGGCAGGGTCGCTGACCAGGCGCTCGCCGCTGACAAACAGGAAGTGGGACAGTGGGAAGTGGCGCAGCCAGTTCTCCAGGTGCTGGGCGTACAGGCCGATGCGCACGGCGCTCCAGGTGGGGTCCACCGGGCCCAGGCCCTGGCGGAAGGCCAGCGTGCGGAAGCTGGGCAGGCCTGGCGTCTTGGAGAGTGTCTGGGTGTAGTCGGAGATGGCCCGGGTCACAGGGTTCCGCACCACCACGATCAGCTTCGTGTCCGGGGACATGCTGTGGATGCGTCGGGGAGCCTCCCGCGTCACGAAGTAGCTGGGGGTCTTCTCCATGGTGATCTGCCCATCTAGGGTGCGTGGCATCAGGCCCCTGGTGGCAGGAAAAGGCTATCTGAGCCACTTCCTGACCCTCCCACGTGGCCCACGCCTTGGGGCCCCACTAACCTCCCCTCCATCCAGGGAAGCCTGGGCCTCCCCCCCCCCCACCCCTCCAGCCC